AAGATGTTCATCAATTTTTCAAGTCTTTTATCCAAAGACCACACTCAAGATTCAAAATCAAGAGATCATGTTCATAATATTCAAAGTGAAATCAAATTCTATAATCCACTTCATGATTCAAAGTTCAAAACTCTCAATTCAAGTCTATTGATTTCAAATTGACAAAAGTTCAACATCATTCAAAGGTTCTCATTCAATTTGCAAGACACATAAAAAAAATACAATTTCAAAGTTCCAAGTAACCATTGTTTCATTCATTTGCAAATTATACAAGTTACTGCCCAAGTTACATTCAATAAAGTTTCAAGTTACAATCACAAAAGAAATTCTTGAAGTTTCTATGCCTAAAGACTTCATCTTCAAAGTCTCTCAAATTCTCCATGCCTTCATTATCAAAGCTCCATATTTCAATCTTCATACTTTCTTCATCAACTAGTGAAAAAGAAAACAAGTGTGTGATTAGCAAAAAATTTCAGCAATGCAAAAGAGTTTTAGGAGCCCCATATCATATTGCATCCCCTACAAACTAGTACAAAAAAATAACAGTCTGTTGCCTAATATTCCAGCCTTGTTTCAACAATAATAGTCCAATTTTTGTGGCACTTTTGCTATCCAAAATAGCAGCCTGCAATAGTCCAGGTGCTGCCAAAAAACTGCTATAAACCAGTCTGCTACACACTGCTGCCCTACCTAAAGCATTGAAACATGGTATTCATAATTGTTCAAATCTCTACAATTTTCCCTCTCAATTCTACTCCACTATGCCTATAAAAGGAGACCAAGACAGCCACTTTAAAAAGGAGAGAAAAAACAGAAAATAGGAGATGTTTGTTCAAGAATAGCAGAAAATAACCAGAGTTAAAGAAGCTTGAGTATCAACAAGGGAGGCAGGGAGAACTTAATATTTTTTGAAGCTCCATCGGAGAGACTCCGATAGGTATTTCTTCTCCCTATTACTTATACATAATGTTCTCATATATCCATCAGTATCATCACTTCCATGCTTGAATCTTCTTTTACATCATTTTTTATGCCACATGAATGCTTGATTTACCACTTTACTTTGTTCTGGAGCTGCTGCCTTTTTGTTGGCATTTAGAAATGTTAGAATAATAGTAATAATAAACAGCAGACGAAATGCACAGAAAATGATATAAATTCATAGATAAAAAAATACGTCCAATTTTCTTTTTCTAAGTACCCAAATCTAAGACACAAAATCGCTAACGGCATCTCCTTTCTTCAGTTTATTTTCCAAACACCCTTCGTCTGTTACCTTTCATCACATTTCCATAAACTATCATTTCAACTCCCAACAATCTTCAATCGAATGGGAATCAGCCTCAGACTGACCGCACCAGAGGAGCCAAAAGGAGAAAACCTGCTTCCGTTAAAAGGTTCAAGAAAGAGGAATGTGCATCTCAAACTCAAACGGTTGATATTAACGATACAGCTGTCAATGACATTTCTTCCGGTGGTAAAGCTTGTTGTACCCCGAAATTTGCCCTCTCATGTTTCCCAAGGTTTTTTCTCTTATATGGGTGGTTACAAACACTTGCCTAAAGAAAATTAAGCAACAAGCTTCGATTGGGCTCCTAAAACCCTTCGACCAAGCATTGGCCCATCAGCTTCAATTGTGCGTTGGTTCCCCTTCGAACAAGACTTGGTCCAAACTTCACAATAAAGAAACCCCTACAAGTTTTCTTCGATTCACCAGTAGTGAACTGCTACATACAAGCTTCGATTGGGTGCTAAATCTTCTTCGATCAAGTTTAATTCACAAACCTTCCTCATGCTTGCCTTGGTTTCACAAGGCAAAGACCCATCAACTTGCCTTCGATCTACAAAGCAAAAAGGCCCTTTTCAATGGTCTTCAATTCACAATACAAAGGGATGCTTCAGACATGCCTTCGATTCACAAGGCAAAGGCCCCCTCTTCAGCTTGCCTTCAGCACATAAGACCAAGACTCCTTCAGATTTGCCTTCAATCCACTAGGAAAAAAGCTTCCTTCGACCCACAAGGCATTGGCTGCCTTTATGCCAGCTCCGACTGGGCAATGGTCCCCTTTGAAATAGTTTTCCACACTTAGACATGCGTGATAGTCCCTTTCGAAGGTGCATTCATGTGGTCCCTTCAAAGATGCATTCATTGGTCCATTTGAAGGACACATGACTATTGAAAACAAGTTTACTTTGTGATGAGTCTTGGTCCAAGATATTTGCTGGCTAAAATCCTGTATGCTTCCAAGCCCAAACCCCCTATACAAACACATTCCTTCCAGAGGAAGCTTTGACTGGCCAGAATAAAGTCTTTTGATTGGGCTAGTTGAGTAGTGTCATAGTAATCGAAGAGAGCAATCTTAGTGGTTGATCGAAGAAGCCAGAATGTTGAGACTTTGTACAAATTGAATCAAGATCCAGAGTCAATCGAAAAGCAAAGATCTGAGGGGCTTTCAAAGAAGTCCTGATGAAGGAAACTCTGAGCAGATTTAAATCCAGAGTCATCAAAAAGGACAAATTCTCTAACGAAGAGAATTATGGGAAATTCAAATTGATGTAGATGTTGACTTAATTAAAGAAACTCTGATAAGGGAAAACTCTGAATTCAGAGTCATCAAAGATCTGAGAAATTCAAATTGATCTGGATGGACTCCATCGAAGGATCTGAATCAAAGCCATTCGAAGGAGGAAATCAGAGTCATTCGAAGGAGGGCATTTGAAAGTCAAATGTGTCCAGGTTCATAACAAATTCAAAAAGGGACAAGAAACCATGTCTTTGGAAAAGTTTCAAAGTGATATTCATGCCCTTAAAACACCAACTTAATGGTTGTTTATTCCTTGGCCTTCTTGTCCCCTCCATCCCCTCTATATAAGGAGCACACTAGCAAGCTCCAAACACGTTGGAAAACACCTCAAGGAGCCACACGAAAGTTTGCAAAAAAAATAGCATAGTTGTCAAAATCAAAAAACCCAATTCCAATCCATTTCAATCCGATTCAAAGGTTCCATCAACATCATAAGATTCCCAGGATTCACTCCCAGCCCTCATTCAAGCTATCGCACGCCCAGAAGTGCCAAACCGGAACTACCCTTTTTTGGTAAAATTTCCAAATTTGTATCTCTAGTTTTATGATATATTAATGCCTTTTGATGTTTGATTCGTGCTCAGGAGGATTCATAGGACAAGTTTGACATAAGTCATGTGTTCTTTGAGGCTTAAAAGCCAACTTACCATTGTTAGGGTCTTGAAGCTGTTAAGCTTCGATCTGGGCGATACAGTTATTTTTGGGCCAATCTAAGGCCAGATTCAGAACCAGAACATGATTTTACATAGGATATGACCCTTGATTTTGCTTTAAATTATGTATTTTTCAGAAAACGAGCTTTGGATTGGCCGAAGAAGGTGATCAGAGGTTTGACTCTGATTGTTGACTCTGGCAGCTTGGTTATTTTCCTCTCATTGGCTCACAGAGGCCAGCGTGCGCGCTTTTATTTTTTTTGAATATATTTGACTTTATTTCACATATAATTTAATGCTTTGGTTATAACACGTGAATTGTAAAGCAGCTCAATTGGTAAAGGCGCGTATGTGTGAAGGAAGGGACCTGAGTTCTTGTCCCAGGTCCAGCACTGTCTCATTTTTCTAACAATATTCATGCAGATCCCACGTAAAGCATGGTCAGATGTGCACCATGCACCCTCATCCTAGGCCATCAGATGTACATCTGATCCAAGCCAGCACATCCAAGCGCGCAGTATATCTTATGCCTTCAAGACTTGTCCACACATGATCAGGCATGAAGTCTGGGCTTCACAACTTTGGGCCCAACAATTTTCAAACAACACCCCTATTTTTCTTTTACTATCAGGCCCAGCTAGCATTTTTTTGTGTTGGTGTAGTTTTATTTATTTTTGTTTTATTTATTTATTAATTAAACAAATGGTCATAAAAATTACAAAAAAATATTAAGTTAGTATTTTATAATTAAACTAATTTTGCAAATAAATTAAATAAATATTTTAACTATTTTCTTTAATTTAAAATGAATTAGAACTTATGACTTGATTTAGTTTTAGTTATTTTTCTTTTTATAATAAAAACAATAAAAACTTAGATTTTAATTTTTTTAATCTTGTTTTCTAATTAAATTTTAGGTATTAATTTCACTTAGTTATTTTATTAAAATAATTTAAAATAAACAAAAAAAAAGATCTTCTTATTTCATTTAGATTTGCTTTAGGCTTTAGACGTCTTTACCTTTCGCGCGTTATTTATTCTCGCATTTTTACATTATTGTACTTGTATACTGGATGTAATAGACTAATTAGGATTTTTATCGCTTTCTTTATTTTTCTTCCTCCATGTTTTGTACATTGTAAGGATCCCCCTCCCCGAAGCCATGTAATAGCGTAGGGTTATATTTTCGCATTTTACATTTTTATACGTAATAACTGCTAGTAACTAGGATTGCATGACAAAACCGAAAAATTAAAACGTTAGCAAACCTAAATGCACAAGATAAATAGCTGAGCTAAACACAAATGCAAAACCAGTATAACAGACAGTTCTGCCACCGTATCACAAAGTTGAACTGTGCTGGACACAAACTGCGTTCAATATTGTCAAGATTCTAAAGCCAATAGGATATTCAGTTTCTCTGTCCTCCTATATGCAAGATATTTCAGTTACCTTTATGGCTATAAGGTCTAATGGAACAGAAGTGATGGTGGATAACCAATGTCTCAAAACAAATAGAAAAATATATAAACAATACCATCCAAAACAATAAACAACAACAAACAAACCTCAAAAACCTCTACTCAACACTATCAATTTTGCAAAAAAATTCTCACAGAATACCCTGTTAAACCTCTGCTCAAAACACCTTCAATAGACCACAAATCTACAGAAAACCGCAACACTTCATTCATCCTCACACAACATCGAAACTGCACGACACTGTAACCTGGATCTTCTTCACAACCTCAATAAAACTTCATCACCTAACAACAAACTTGCGAAACTCCTCCTTCCTCAGGGTACCCTCTATGATGCCATCCCCATCATCGTCAGTAACTCTCATAAGCCTTTCAGTTAGTCGCCCATCCTCTAATTATAATTTCACACAAACCTTAACTCTCCAAATTTTCTCTACTCACTTCACCACCAACAACTGCTACACTCCAATACGCTCACCTCTGTTCATTCCACTGGCTACTCAACCTTCGTTGAATCCTACTTCGCCGCCCACTCCAACATAACCTCATGATAACCTTCTTCAATTTCATGCACCAACCCTCGTTGCCCAGCACCCTCAAGCCTTCTTACCCCATTCTTCTCACTCGTTTCTTCCACATCAATAACCATGAACGTTGAACCCAAACCCGAACCCAGTTTACCAGTGTGGTCTATTCCCACGAACCCTAAAAACTTCAAAAACACTTCGATTCAAGAACTTATCAGCAGTTTTGCGTGAAACATACCAAATTGAAATTTTTTGATTTCGTTGAAGGTGTTTTGGTGGGTATGGATGCGAGGGTCAGAGAAGAGATTCAACGGTCGCAAGAGAATGTTGATTTGGAGAGAGGAAGGCTTGAAGAGGAGCTTCACATTGAGAGACTCTCGAGGATTCAGGAGGAGGTGGATTTTAAAAAGGGAAGAAATTTATGAGAAAGATAAAGGAAGATTGAAGGAAAGTTGTGAGTCTTTGATGAGGAAAGTTAAGGTGAATGGGTTAGCTGAAGGGGTTAGGATTAGAGAGAGAGGATCATGTTTTTATATTTGTTTCAACTTTCCTTTTCATTGCTATTTTATTGAAGATAACAATAATAATAATATACAATTTCCATTCCCAATAACAACACAAACGGCGCTTCCCTGTTTGTTTTAAGGTCTCAGAAATCCTTCTTTTGTTTCTTCCTAAAACCGGGTCGGTCCAATGGGCCTGTTGGCCCAATGCCATTACCATCGTGACCTTATATTTTAATTAAAGTATAGACATAATAGATAAATAGCAATAGCTTAGTGGCAAGGCATACCACTAATAACTTAAGGGACCCGAGTTCTACCCTTGTTGACGAATTTTATTTTATTTTTTTAGTTCTTTTAGCCTTATTTCCCAATTTTATTAAATTTATGATAACAAAATATTAGTTATAGTTAATTATATATGTATATATATATATATATATATATATATATATATATATATATATATATATATATATATATATATATATATATATATATATATATATATATATATATATATATATATATATATATATATATATATATATATATATATATATATATATATATATATATATATATATATATATATATATATATATATATATATATATATATATATATATATATATATATATATATATATATATATATATATATATATATAATTACTTCTTTCCATTATAAAATACAAAAAACATGATTTTATAAATTAGCCTTTTATTTAATTTTTGTTATTTATTTAGTTATTCAAAAATACATGCTTATAAATTAGTCTCTTATTTAATTTTTGCTATTTTATTTAATTGTTCAAAATATATGCTAATATAAATTAGTCTTCTTTTGTCATTTTAGTTAACTTTATTCTCGATCATTTAATCTTTATATCTTTCATTCGTCTAAATTCGCAGGGAAATGTTTTAACTTTGTTGACTTCATGTCATCAAGTACATCTTATATGATTGTGCAAATCCCTTCATTCATTTTTGTTTTACTATTTTTGTTAATTTTAAGTTAATTTTCGTAAAAGACTCAATTTTAAAACTCACACCTTTTAAGTCAAAACTATGACACTAGGTCGTCGTATCTTGAAAATCTCATCCACACCCATTTTAACCAAGCAAACCATTTTAATCAAACAAATCATTTTAATCAAAAAACAAATATTTCAAAAGGTTCTTGCGGAGTACCACAGATGTATAACCAACCCCCGAACCTTTAGTCTCTTTAAAAAATATGCATTGTATTTTCATTACTTTAAAGTATTACTTTACATTGCATATTTAAGTGTTTTATTTCACTCTTTTTCCTTTTCCCTTGTAAATAATAAAGCATGGTGGCGACTCTTACTTTTGCGAGTCGAGTTAATTAATAGCACGATCTCCGATTGACACTGCTACATTTTTATCGCTACAAGGGAGGAGGAACAACAATAGATGTTTCCTTCTCTACCTCTTCGACAACCTCCCTTTCGAAGGGTGTCGGTCTATTTATCTTAATCTCCATTCTTTTTTCATCAGAACTCTTCTCAACCTCATTATTACTTTCTTCAATCTCATTATCACTCTTCTTAAGATTTTTGATTTGTTTTTCACTATTGGTTGTTACAACATCCTAATGCTCCTTTGGGAAGGATCCTAGAGGTTTTTGTTCAAGCAAGGAGATTTGAGTCTCCAAGGCCATGTTGTGAGTCACAAGGGACTCAACTACATTGTTCAGTTGCCTAAGGGTTTCATTATTATAGAGACTTTATTATCTTAACTCTTTATTTTAGACAATTTGGGTCTCTACAAATGCTCTATCATACATTCTAGCCTAGAGTGAGTTAGCATCACATTGAAATCCTTCATTTATGTTTCGAGGTTTAAATTATGAGGTTCTCGCGGTTCCTCAAAGTGTGTTTGCGTCCCATTTTATGTCTCCACAAAGTGCTCTGTCATCATAGTTTCTAGCCTAGAGGGAGTTAGTGTTGTAGTGAGATCCTTCCTTAATGTGTGGATTGTGGAATTTTTGGATTCTTGTGATTCCTCAAAATATTGGGCGTGGTGATTGTAGAGGAAATTTTGTTGAGGATAAGTATGCGTTGCATTGTAATCCTCCAGTAATGTTTCGATATCAGACTTATGGGATTCTTATGACTCCTCAAAATGTTAGGATTGGTAGTTTAGAGGAAATATGAGTGAGAGTGAGTTAGTGACACATTAAAATCCTCCATCAGTATTTGGAGGTCGGATTTATGGGATTCTTGTGATTCCTCAAAATACTGAGAGTGCGAGTTGTAGAAAAAATTTGGGTGATACATATTAATTAAGGTAAGAGTGCCTTAGTCTATACGGTGCAACAATAGAAATAACAATATTGACTGTTGGTCCCCTGCAATGACGCCAAAAACTTGACGTGTCCGCAAGTGCACAGAAGTATCATAGTAATATAAAAGATTGTCAAACCCACAGAGACCAATATCAACCTAATGTACTCTATTGTCGCTTTGTAAAGCGAAGGCTAAGGAAGGATTGGATTAGGGGAGCCTAAGAACTAAAACTGAAATAACACAAAGATTAAGATAAATACAAGAAAATAGAGAGACCAGAATATGTATTTCTCGTACCTCAGGGACTCTGTAACCCGTTAGCTTATGATAATGTTAAAAACATATTTAGTAGAAAATATTAGCTTAAACACTAAATCTCACACTCTCGTGGTTTTGAAGAAAGACATGTTCCTTGACCATGGGATTTTGCTCTCGCTCACCCATTCTAATCGAGGAACGCGTTTTGAAAACTGAACAAGTTCTAATTAATTTAAAAGCGCTCTCGTTGTGTTTAGGATTAATGCTTAGTTTCTACTATTCGGTTCGACCTCCACGCTCTCGTAGTGCCAGATCGAACCTTAGTTAATTTCCCACTCTCGTGGAAAAATCCAGTTAAATAACCTCTCACACTCGTGACAAAGCTATTTAATTTAAGTTTAATAACAAAGACCAAAACATAAATTTCAAATTAATTAATTAAGCCGACTTTGTTATCGAGTCCCGTCAGAGACGATGGTCCTCACATACCAGACTCAAGACTTTTTGTCAGACATAGTTTTAAACACAAGCATGTTGTTACGATTTTTAAACTTTAAACTAAATATGATTCTAAAATAGTTAAAATAAGGTTGAAACATTTCCATAAAACGATACTAAAATGAATATGAAAAATTAATAAGCAGTAAAATAAAAAATTAAATTGAACCTGCAAGTAAAATGAAAATTGAAATAAACCTTAAAATAACTTCGCGTACAATAACTGGAAATTGTAAGATTATGCTGGCACGGTTGAAGAATCTTGTACAGATTTGAAAATTAAAAAAATCCTAATTCTAAGTTGTCACAATCCCTCGATGTTAGAAACTACAGCTTTTACATGGTCAATTTTTCTTCCTAAAATTCTAAGAAAAAAATACTCTCCTTGAAAAACCCGACCGACCCCTGTGTATGATGAACTGCCCTTTTTATAGTCTCTTTCAATTCTAGTAGCTTTTGTGGATAAGAATCAGACACTAGTGGTAATGGGGGGAATTTATCGGAGACGTTGCTTTCGTGAGCACTGACGTAGAGAAGAACCACAAAATAGGACAAGAAAAATCATTAAAATGCGTGGCTCGAGAAAACATAGTTGTGGCGGGGGCCACACTTCCCTTAGCATGAATGGCGAGTGCCATGGAGCATGTGGTGAGGGCCACATTTTTTAGCGGTATGGTAAGGGCCACAGAAGGTGTGGCGAGTGTCGCAACCTTCTGTGTGCTAATTTTCTTTTCTTTTCTCTGCTAATCTCTGATAGTTTACCAATTCTTTTCTAATTTCTTATCTTTTCTCATGGAAGCTTAATGGATGAAAATACCTGAAACATAATAGCAATACCAACATAAAATGACATAAATAAATTAAAAACAATATGAAAGTGCATGTGAATAAAGTCTCATATACGATATAATTTCACGTTATCAGAGTGGCACAAGGACAATCCTTTAATGCTTTACTGTGACCAGTGTCATTATGACCGTTGAGAACCAACAACTATATTTTAGATTTACCTTTCAACCCTTTCAATGGATCTATTTTACAAGCTATAAAAGGAAGATTTGGAAGCTGAAGAAAAGTAAGAAACAACACTACAACGACAAATCTATCGATTCAAATCAAGTTTAACAAAACAACACCAAAGCGTTGTGCAAACTTCGTAGAGAAATTGTATATGTATAGTTTTATAAATAAACAAGGATATTTTGCTTGTATATTATAGTAGAACACTTAGATGTTTTTCATTGTACTGAAAAGACAATGTAATATGCTTACAAGAAGAAAATCTATAATACATTGAAAGTACTCAACTGTTGTTGAATGATACCTTGAGAGACTGGGTGAATGTATGATCTCAAGAAGACTCCTATTGTGACTTGAGTGGATTTTCAATAAGGATCAATGGACTTATTATGGGTGCCTATAAGGTTGATCAAACTTATTGTGGGTTGTTTTGTAATCAGTTTGCTAATAGTTAATTAAGTCCTTGTGGAAGGTAAAATCATCCTTAAGGGGGTGGACTGGAGTAGCTTAGTTAACAACGAACGAAGAT